GCGGGTGGATATTTATTAAGCCTAAAGTTTTGGAGAACTCGTTCTTCAAGAACCCCACCCCACCACTGCACCGCTGCCGATCCCACGCTCAGCCTCCGTCAGTATGTCGAAGAAAAATAAATTAAATTTTACTATTTCTTCAAGTTACTGACGGAGGCTGAACGTGCCATCGGCAGTGGTGACCTTGGAATAGGACGAATTTTGTCGAAAGTTGAATAGCGTTAATCACATCCAAAACTGTTTAGCACAGAGCATGTTAGTTTATTTTTGATCTCAGTATTCTGCTAATACCATAACTGAATAAGCAGTACTCTCAGGATCGGTCATGTTGCCTTAATAGCTTATTAGTTTGAAATGGTGGTCGGCGAAAAATTCATGGAGCCTCCAATCGTCAGGCAACCTGAAACAAGAACAACATCTCATTTTCACTCGAAGGAATCCTTCCGTAAAATTCTTGGTGTCAATATTCTCATACGCAGTTGTAGCTGATGTTGTATGTGACCACTATGAGGACTAGAGGTTGCGTCCCACAAAGGTCCCTTTTCTGACAGGAACAAACTACGATTCCACACTACCACATGACAGTCGAAGGTAATTGCGCGGAGCGAAGGCGGGGCATAGAAAGAAGCAGAGTAACCGTTCCTTTGCACTACTCGAATGGAGAGTGTCGCACTTTTGATCCCGGGATGGAGAGATTTGGGATTCGAGGTCGCATTTGGGGTTTGAGGTTGAGTACGATTATCGTAGTGAGAACAGAGGTTGCCAAAAAGGGTTTCCGTTCAGACGAGGAGTTTTTTGGAGAATATGGAAAAAACTCGAGAAAAAAAACTAGAAGAAAAAAAAGAACGACAAATTAGAACAAAATCCTTCAAGTGTGATTTGCACTTCGCTCACGCCGTGTTCGAGAAAGTGGCGGCGGATTGTGAGAGTACTGAAGTGCGACGAGTTCGCTAGGTTCAAAAATTATGGAGGTTTGGTCTCTCGCATGCTTGAGTGAGTCGAGTCAGCTGAACCATCTGACATCATATGTTACTATTCGATTTACATAGTGTCCTGCGAAGAGCATCAGTTCTCCGGAGATGGAGTTTGTTGCAGTGTGTTATCAGGTCACGAGTCGCGGAGTAGCCCAGCTTAAATGTTCGAGTTCTGCAGCAAGTTCAACGCCAGAATTGAGTTCCTTAGTCGTGGGTGGAATATCATACGAGTGGGGCTTTACGCTGGGAACTACCACCAACTAATACCCGTGTCAGTGGAGAGGATAATCGTAGACAGCTTGGTTGCGACGCCTTCAAAATGAAAGCAAGTTAAGATGTATCCATCTATTTATTTTGACGTCCTTCGAGTTCACTTGCTAGAAAAATTCATACAAAATTGGAGATTCTGGTGCAGTCAATCTTTAGGCTCGCTGTACACTACATTTGTGACCTAACGAGATGACCATCCACTTTCCTCTTGAACCTTCTGGGAAAGAAATCTTACTTTATTCACCATGATGTAAACATCGACATCCAATTTTCTTCGAACAGAACTCTGTGGAATTCTATTGTACAAAAAAGAGATTGAATATGTGCTTTAGCATTAGCGATTTGTTTGGTAGTAATGATATGAGCCATGGTATAGAAAACAATCTAGAGAATAAAAAAGCAATTAATCGAGACATAAGTTTCTCAAAATTAGGAACGACTAAATAATATCTAATTTTTGGCAATAATGCCATTATCAGACCGATCTTAAAATTACAATAATTACAAATCAACAACTACGAGACAAAGGACATGATGCATCGATACATACCAGAGAGGAGGGAGAGAGAGGGCGGCTTATAGGAGTGTTTCAGGAATGAAATGAGACGCCAGTCCTGAGGGAAAAGGGCTCACTAACATAGTCAGCCCCTGGGGTAAAGACATGGGACATCTGGAGCACGGAGAGTATATCGCATCAGGCAGCAATAATGAGGAAGATCGGCTAGGTGATCTTTTGAGGTTTTGGAGGTACATTCTCCCTCAAGGATGGTGTCTTATTTATTCTGGGCACATCCAATTTGGGCCGCCCCTTCGCGAGTTTCTGGTATGTATTATTGTATCATCTCCTTAGTCTTGTAGCTGATGATTTGTAATTATTGTAATCTTGAGGTTTGTCTGATGATGACATTATTGCCGAAAGGTCACCAATAAGACCAAGAGCTTCAAAAGCATCTTATTGAACACATAAGTTAAATGTCAAAAAGAGTTTCTAGTGACGGCACTCCAAAAACCATGCTCTCGCCGCCAGCATTTGTGAGGGATGTTGGGCGTTAGTTTGAACACCAACCCATCTAGCTTTTCGAGATTTTTTTAACCAAAACAGTTTTTTTGTTTTCTTCGTTCTTTTCGCAAATGATGGGTCCCAAGCCAATGATTTAGGAATCACGATCTTTTCAGGAAGGATCTCCAAAAGTAGGATCAAAAATGCTTTTGACTTCCACTCCAGCAGAATTTGGTGAAACTATGTTCTTCATTTCCATGGCACATCTTTAGAGTCGTTCTATCGTAATACCTCTGGATAATATCTGTGTTTTGAACGTTGCTAAAATTACTTGGTGTTCACATATTTTTCTTTATTCATTACACAAAATCTGCGGATGCTATATGGGGCGCCGGCTGAAAATCGTGCTCTTCCCACGCGTCCAAAAAGCGAAAAAGAAATTCCGCGACATCTGTAGATGTTCCAATACTTGTTCTCAAATGCACAAATCAGGAGGGGTGCGACAAATCTGTGAATAAACCGCAAGAAAGTGGGAGTCGTGGACGACGCTATATGAGGCTTTTTGTGGTAGAAAATACTCTAAAATCAACTATTAGGCGCCTAGTTCTTATCGATCCTCCCTGCTGCTGGTCATCGTGGTAGTATCTCATCCACGTCGTCTCGCTTATCTGCATGTTCCCTCTTATCGAAGAATTCTCTCTCATTGGTGTCGCTATCCCTCATCTGATGTTTACTGCTTATTCTCCTTTACACAACGAATAGAGTAATACTCTACATTCTCCAACAACGATTTCTCTTCTTTTTCCTTAGCGGATGCTGTGAGTTTAAGGGAATCATAGTATGTTAGGATCTTATGTGAAAACAGAGGGCGGAAGTGGTGTAGTGGCAAGTGGCACGCTTCACCACGCGAGCGGTCCGGGGATCAAATCCTGGGTCGTGAGTCGCCCGGGCCAACCAAGCCTTCCATCCCTCCGGGGTCGGTTAATTGGTACCAGACTTGTCTGGGAGGATAAAAACACTGACTTGTACATCGGCTGGCCCCCGCAAGTCATTGTATAGGCCACATCGCATTCAAACGCCACTACGAATGTACAAATGGAAGTAGAATGCGTGCCGCATCCCAAAAAGGGATTGATCAACGGCAAATGCTTTATCCTTTTATCTTATTATATGGAAACAGGCAAGGTATCACACCATGAGAAGGTTTTTATATCATGAAATACAGGGAAGTTTGCACGAGCTTCCATCACTCGAATGCCCAAGTAATTTAGGGATTGTTGGATAAGATGTTGACGGGATTCATGGACTCCAAAACTTCTCATTTTTCGAAAGAGAGCCGTCTACCACTTGATCGAGTGAAAAAAGCTGTGAGTTCGAATGGTCAATATGTTATAATAGCTATCATATTAGATATGAACGACATTCATGTTTGTATTGAATGAGCGCCCTTATTAGTGTGTGTTTCTGCACGTATTTTGAGCTAAGATTTTATTTGCTTCTAATTTTTCTCCAAAGTGTAGCGGTAGCTCAACTTTGCGGTGAATGCATCTGTTCGGCTAGCACTGTATGTTATGACAGGAACGAGGCTGTTATTTGACGCGAGTACAGTGCCGACGTCTTCTTGTGAGCAAAACCTGAAAGTGTTCCAGAGTTGATATTTTCATATTGTCCTAACTTTGTACCTGTAACCAGTGCGGCGTTTATCTGGGTGTGCCTTAATCTCAACACCAGCATAAATGCATCCATCTTTAGAAAATTTAGCAGGGAGCTCCGCAATCTTCACTTCTATCTTCGCATTGCCTACATTGTCCGGCACCTTAAGATGATCGATTTTTCAAGTTCGGTACAATTCCTAAAAAGGCACATACCTTAATCCAATAGGTGCATCTTTTGTATTCGTCCAGCTCCTCACCGACTTCCCCAGCGTTCAGAGTGTTTTCAAACGTTTGCCAATTGGGGGAAGCCTCCAGTTCAGCACCACAATTGGATGGCTAAGTAAATTCTTGAGATGAATCGTCAGCTCACTTGTGAAAAGATAAGTCACCTTTTCCCCGCATAAGGGTCCACCGTACCCGCTAGGGCAAACGCACTTGGAACAGTTTCGAGGATGAGGGAATCCATCATTCTGGCAAGCTGGTTTCATTGTTTGCGCATGCGCCTTAAACATTCCTTCGTGCACTTATGGGGCGAACAAAATTTTTCCACGCATTACTTACCGAGGCAATCGTAGAGTTTATTCATCATAAGCAGGTCGTAAAACGATATGATATCAGACCCAAGAGTCTCCGTATAATTACCATCTTTAGCTTCCATAACACGCCGCTTGACGTCAATGGCAGCGTTAGGGCTAAAATTGCTCACTCATATCCTCCAGATACCTCTTGAATTTGTTCTACCTCCGTTGGCATCCCATGAAAATGACAATTATGGCCTAACCTAAGAGTACGTATGTTCACTCGGATCTATATAAGTTATTGTTGTCTGCCTTTCCGTTCATGCTTTCATCAAAACTGCTTCAGCGACCAATCATCTTCAATCGTAGCTCCAACGAATGAAGTACGCCAGTCAGACTGAAGTAGTCACGTGAAGTTAAAATCCTTCTGCAGCACTCACAGACCTTACCTTAATATTGTCTTCGTTGACTTTGATGTATTTGTCACGGTCATATCTTGTTTGGGTGTGGAAGAATCCAAGTGCATGACCGATTTCGTGCGCAGCAATCCCGACCTGCAGCAGAATGGGAAACGAAGTTTGCATCAATGCGAATTGAGGGAACTATTCAGTATCTTGTAGTGAATAACTTGAGTGTAATAAAGGAAAGTGCTCTGAACCCATACCGATCCACAGCCTTTGCCGAGTGTGAGAGGTTGCGGACCTTCGTTTGGTTTACCAACTTGCGAAACGCATCCGTCTCCATCTTCCACGTCAAGGAAATTCACAGCTGAAGCACTAGCTCTCTACTGTGAAGGACCAGTGTTTTTATCTCATCGTTCACTGTGGCATGGATTAGCGATGTTGGCAAGGAAGCGTTTTTTCTGGCAGAATAGGACAGCTATCAAAATTTGAAAACAACACATTGCCACTTACTACGAAAACCCGGTCCAAAATCTTCGTATTCTTTGATATCAATGCACGTGTCGTCCCTCCATAACTGCGCTGCTTTTCTGAAGGCAGCCTTGACCGTTTCGTCTGAACATGAATGAAATTTTGCTCATTCGTCACACGCGCGACAGAATTTTAGAGCGACTGACTTGTATAGAAAACACATATGGGACCTTTTTGTCAGGCCATCTTCTACCTAGGATCACTCATTGCTTGCCGTTTGGAACGGATTCCAATTGGTCTTCCTGCTCCCTTAATATAGCTCGAAATTTTGTCAGAGAAGTTAGCAGAAATCGAAAAAAAACTAGCCTTGTAAGAAGAATATCTCCCTGGTACAGCGAGTCTGCAACCCCGCTTTTCTTGTTGATTTCCTCAATCGTGTCTCCCATTTCATTTTCATTTTCATCGACAGCTTTTCTCTTGAACGACTTGAAAATGGTCCTTCTTGAAAAACTGCTTCATTTGAGAAGGTCTACTCACTTTGCGTCTCTCGAAAAGTTTTTCTCTTTCTCTGTAGAGGAGTGGAGAGAATGCGATTTGTGCCGCTGCTCTGGCATTGCTTCCACACATACGGCCACAAGTATAGCAAATGCAAGGACCTTCATTCTGAAATGTAAAGCTGAAAGAAAATTTCGTCGGTCACGAGAAATGGGAAGCGTGCCGGTGGATGTGGCTGTTACCATCTTCTCGCATTTATATAGTGCTTTCAAGCATTGCAGTTGACATTACGGGGATAGTTGCAATGTGGTCTCAGTGAAGCATTGCCATTTCAGCTGCTGCTTTGTCTGACTCGCGGTGATATAGGTTGCGTATTGTGAAGTATACTGTAAAGGCCGTTGTGGAAACTAATCGATCAGTAGCTCTGCGTTGGCCGCACGCGTTTTGAAAAAAAGCATACGAGCTTTTGGCGACACGAACAGCTGGGGATAACAAGAAGATTTTGGTACACGAGCCAGCCACATAGCTCTCTATCTGCGATACCGAAACTCAAGTTTTGATAAGCTGAGCATATCCTTAGAACTCGGAGTGCATCAATCCATATGCTGTTTTTGCGGCTTTCTATCAATAACTTGACACATAAATTGACAAGATGGGAAGGCTCTAACTGTGGGAAGCCC